ACACTGAATTCAAATGCAAACCAAATTTTAAAGGTAATATGAGTGACCACAAACAAAAATCATATTACCAAAATGGGATTCAAGCATTAACAGAGATTTATCAATCAAACCAGCAGGTGATAGTTTTCCATCTGGAAAGAGGTCAAAACATGTATGATATTTATCAATTAAATGGTAACAGTAACATGACTCATGGTGTTGTCCAACAAATATTGTCAAAGATTCAGCCAATCAGGTTACGCTGATCTGCACAACTCTCTATCTCTTTCAAATTCCTAATTTTTATGTAACTCTACCTAAATATTTGAATTTTTAACAGCTTGCAGCACTTGTTTAAAATGATTGTAAATAACAAGTTGCTGAGAATTGAATTTTGCTCACCTGACGTTTTGAATTAAACTGAATGTTGAATGTAAAAATGTTCAAGTGGTTCAATTAGCTTTTTCTGTATGAGCACTCAGCCTTAAAGAACACCTTAAGGATGAATTACAGAGGCTGCAGTTCCCAGATCCTTCAGTACCCTCCCTCTGTCTCAGCTTCCTGCTTTTCAGCGATCCTGCTGCCATGTATAAACAGTTCTTGTTTTTCTCGGTCAGTGTCAGATACCTCGTTGTTACCATCCTGTTTTTTTTGGCATCCTGCATTGACATTAAAATCCGCTCTCACTGCGCACCGCAGGCCTTACCTGTGCAACTGGATCCTCAACAAAAGAATATAAAACAGAACCCTACAAACAAAAAGCGTCTGAAAATATTGGTGTGGTAAATAAATAAGAGAATCCACATATAATTTCCCTGTTTACATTTAAACAGCCAAAGTGCTTTGTTTATAAATAGTAAACTGAGCTAATCTGGCCTCGACCGCCTGTTAATCCGCAGTAAGTATCCATCGACATTTAGTCCTAAGTCATGTCTTTATGTTTCTGCAGGCTTTAGTTTTCAACTTTGCTCAGTATTTCTTAAAAAGTGTAAAACCCATTTTACAATAACCTTCATTGTGCTCTATGTTAGATTTATTCGCTCCCACAAAGGTCGTTCCACACCCACACAGGGTGTGCACATGGATTATGTATTCTGACTGCTTTCTTTTGATCGAGTGACATGCTGAGATTTATTTTCAAACTAAAGCATTCTATATTAGTGCCTTATGATGACACATTGCGCAATATCTCAGTCAATACACCCAACCCATTCGGTTTTCTGTGTGCAATGTCATTACACTCACAATCTTCTCAAGGTAATCTGAAAAAAACACTTAAAATGCATCAACAAAGCTAACTAATTAACAGTCATGTAAAAACAGATTCAACCTCTTTGATGAAAAATATTTAAATACCTATTGGAAAAAAAGTATAACCACTAAAATGGATTTAAAATGACATAAAAGAACCTCGGATCAACTGTTATTATCCATTTAACTAAACACTGCACAAACATGAAGCTCACTCTAGGTGTTTTCATGGTACCTAAATGGTAATTACAAAACATTTCATTATGGTGATAAAATCTAGGAAGGAATATCCAATAATCAGCAAATGAAAAGTTTGTGAAAGCTGCTGTTTTAGCAGTTGATTAAAAGGTCTGCCTCTTGTTAGTACGTTTTAGGCTTAAAACTCTGCTTTTTGGAAGCATATAGTTATATAGTGACTCAGGTTATCCTGAACTATCTCTATAGTTATGCTGCTATAGGCTTAGGCTACAGGAGGACATCGGGACAGCTTTTTATAATTGTTTTTAATTTTATAATTCTTCTCTGTCCTCCAATGCTCCAGTAAGAGTTCATTCAACCCCTAACTTTATCTTATCTCTGCTTTTTCTCATCATAATAGCTACACCTGGTCCCGTTTGGCTGTGACACCATCAGGTGGTCCGCTGCCATCAACACCTTGGATTATAGATGATAGTGTTGGGCCTGTTATTTTAGGGCTTAATCCTGTCTCTCTCACAGGCATAACTATGGGTCCCAGCTTTTACTGTTACTACCTATGTGCTCTTTTTCACCCCTTATGGCAGGAAAACTTTCTCAGAACTCATCCTCTTCCCTAGACAGCATGTATATATGTTTAGATCAGTGTTTTTGTGTTCTTCTTGTATGTCTGCTTCTATCTCCTTGAATTCCATCCACATCGACATACGGCAAGTACATCACAACATACTTGATGTATGTCAAAGTGTTCCAGCGTGCTTCTGCTACTTCAGCATGCTCATAACTTATCTTATCTTATCCCTTCAGTTTTCGGTCACATTTATTTGCTATGGACAAGTGATTAAATGTTCTTGATGTGTCTGCTCTATGAACTTATCAAATTAAAGTCCATTATTTTATAACTAGGATTGGGTAAGAAATTCATCTTACTGAATAGAATGGAGTATCTAGTATAATACCTGGATTGGTCTGTTTTGTGAAGAGCTTTGAAACACTGCTGTCAGTTGTGATATAATAAAGTGATTTGTATTTAATAGAGAAATAAACAGGTATTGCTCATGCAAAGCAATGACAAAGAGATCTTTCATATTTAACAGTTAACAAACATTTGGAAAAGATTAAATGAGGATCTTATGGTTTGCAACAGGTTAAATTGGAACGTTTAACATTTAATTTAACTTAGAGCCAGTCTGTTCATGTATTTTTAAGTTGGAACTCAAATAAATTATATTGTGTGATATATTAAAACAAAGAAATTCTTAAAGTAATCAGCAGAATTGTGGACCTCCACACGCTCAGTTTCTCTTAGGACGAAATCCCCAAAGTTGGTCGTTAAGGACCGCTGTCCCGCAGGTTTTAGAGGTTTCCCTGCTCCAGCGCAGCTCATTTTAATTGAAAGCTGTTTAACAGGCTTTTGCTCTACTGCAATCATCATAATCAGCTGTGCTAAAGCAGGGAATCCTCTAAAACCTGCAGGACAGCGCACCGACTTTGGGGATGCCTGCTCTGAGGGTTCAATTTCTAGATGATTGAAGGAGCACTGTCTTTGTTTAACCAATTATAACATCAATGTAAACAGCAAAGATATCCAATGATGATGATATCCATAAAAGTGATAACTCCGCTGTCCAAAAGACAAATGACATGCTGTGAATGTGAATATAGACATTCAGAGGTCATTACTCCAAATAAAGCCATAAAAGCATGTTTACAATTTGGAAATGCAACAAATAACAGTGACCTTGATTTTTAAATAGCTTGTCCTGTAGTCTGTTCCAACTAAAGCTGAAGGGTTTGTTACATTGAACTTTGGGGAGAAAAGTACCAGGCTGTAAACATAAATTCACATCTCGGATTTTAGTGAAGGAAATAAATGCAAAAAAAAAAAAAAAAAAAAAAGATAAATTGATAAAACATAGAGGGTGTTGAAGTTATCCGAAATGAAGCAGTGCAAGATATAATCAAACACCAGAGGGCGTCATTCCTCATCCTCCGATGGCTGCATCTCCTAAAGACATTTATGTGACTATTTCATGTCGAACTTGGACAATTTATCTTTTGTGCATCTAAAAAACGATATTTTTTTTTACATTGCATGTAGGTATAACATGGCTTCGACAGCGTTATGACTTTAAATAATTCCGTAATACCATGATCTCTTTGATTTTGTATTAAGTAATTCTATTAGGATTTCGGTCATTTAAAATAATCAAATTGTAAAATATTCAACATGTTCTAATTTGGGGAAAAAATGTGTTTCTGTTATTTATTCGTGACTGCATCGTTGAGGCACGTGCGCATACAATATGCAGTGGAAAGTTTCCACATGAATTTTCCACCTCAAAGAAGAAACGATTACATCTACGTCATTTTCACCCAAAAGTGACAGGGCAACGTCACAATTGTTGTGTTCACGTGACACCGGAGTGCATATTTAAGCTATATTTTTAAGCTAATAAATATTAGAAAACCATTGAAAGCAAAGATTGATGCAGAGACAGTTCTTGATGATATGTGTGAACGGAACTTTGTTTTTATTTTCAATACACAGTAATTATTTCCAGAGATTGAACTAATAGCCTAAATCTTCTAAATGTATATATTTAAAAATGATGGCAAGGGAAATTATGCAAAATTAAGAATATATGAGTGAGTTGAATTAAAAACCATATAGTCTAAAATTTGGATTATTTGTTATATTGTGTTCTTTCGTTGATCTATAAGAAGATCTAGCCTATTGAAATAACAGGGGGGAAATCGCTTCGAGATTGTTTTTAGGAGCAGTTTTCCCACTGTACTTGAAAGCAGCGCGGGGGAGGAGGTGGATAGAGATGTATGGCAGGCTAATTTGACATTTACTTAGCTGACTGAATATATATATGTTCGAGATGTCTCAAATGCATTCCTTCCTAGACAAAATGATATCTGAAATAGTAATTATGACTAACAGTAACTCTACTATGTAGATCTGAAATTAGAATTCATCCTCGCCAGAATTTATTTTTAGATAGGAAGAATGTTATTTTAGATGTCTAGAAGTAAAAGCCCAAGACTTTGACTCAGACAGATTTATTTTGTCATTTTGAATACACAAGTGTAAACAAAACTACTCTCTAGACAATTTCACTTTTTAAATTCACATGAATGGGAAACGTGACGTCATTTGTACAAGGAAGAATTCAATTTCAGCTATCTGAAATGTTAATTTTAGATAGGAAGAATGTTATTTTAGATATCTGAAATGTTCAGTTTTACTAGGAAGAAATGCATTTCAGACATCTGAAATATATAGTTGGTCAAGCTAATAAATGTCAAAAGGACCACTTAACATTTCTAAAGATTTCTAGGTATTTGAAAGGTTATTCTTACTAGCACAATTATATTTTTAGCAGCCTGAAATGTAATGTTTTTAGGAAAAATTTAGCTATTTGTACATTTCTGGCTTCGAGGAATGTAGTTTTGACTAGGAAGAATCTTATTTTAGAGGTCAACAAATGGAACAATAGAGAGGAAGGTGCTTCTAATTAATGTTAAAACGGCCTGCCATAACCCTGAGGATGAAGGTGCGTCAGAGAGCGGGAGGAGGAGGATAAGGGGGGGTAGCTAGACCCAGCTAACACCAATACTGGCAGCTTGTTTATCTGTGTCTCAGTGCAGTCTGACTGACATTGATGTCACGTACAGAGACAAAGAAACGCTGAAGAAACGAGTTGATGTGTAAACCAGCGGACACTCCGTTTCGAAAAGTAAAACAATGAGCAAATGGTGAAGGAGGGCAGGGTGAAGACAGAAAGGGCATCTCTGAGTGAAGCAGCAGCAGCCTCCTCCTCCCGGACTGTAATCTGCGGATGAGAGTCGGTGTGTGACCCGCGGCTCAGCGGGAGCTCTGCTGCCGATAGGAGCAGCTGATTACCGGTGAAAACAGCAGAGACCGCAGACAGCCACCATGAAATTCACCGAGCATCTCTCAGCTCACATCACACCGGAGTGGAGGAAGCAGTACATCCAGTATGAGGTGAGCGAGCTTCACAGGTTAGCCCGGCTAGCCGTCCGGCTAGCTCTCTGGAAGCCGGGCTGGATGTCTGTCCAGTTAAGGAGGATTTGTTCAGCCCCAGAGCGGCGCGTTAACAACAACCTGCCGCCATGGAGCAAACAGGAAGGGAGGGAAAGTGCTGCGAGTTGTTAGAGAAACAGCAGCAGCCCTTAGCTAGCAGAGCAGCCTGCTGGGTTTGTTTAGTTTCTCTGTGTTTGTTTTTTTTATCGGGCTGTTTATGGGACAACAAGATGTCCGGCTGAGTCAGCGGGTTTCACATGATTTAATCTTTGCGTCCGTTGACCCCGATGGCGGCTGTGAAACAGCTGAGACAGCTGCTGATCCTGCGGCTGTTTAAACATCAGAGGCGCTGATAACTCAATCTGCGACCTTTGACCAATTAGGGCCGCAGGGATGAAGGCCCCCCATGACTGAATGTCGGTGGGACACTTTATCCATCCTGCTGGGGTGTGCGGAGAAAAATCTGCAACTAAAGGTTACAGAACAGTGGAAAATCACCATCTTCCCCAGCTTATTCCCAGGCTCAACATGGTTGGATATTTAAAGAAAATGTAAAAAAAAAAAAAAAAAAAAAAAGGGCAAGTTAGCATTTTAGATCACTTACCCACCCCTCACAAATGGAGTCTCCCTCCAAAGATCTACATTCAGCAAAGATAATGCTACATGGCTGGACATCTTATTTTGGCGTTTGAACAATTCGATGAGCCCTTAACCAATTAAAAATCAAGAAAATCATCAACCAGTAAAGGTCCAGAGACATTTTTAGAATTTAACACTGAAATCAAATGAGTTTTTATGCATCCATGGTATACACTGACTTTTCAAATAAAATATAGAACATTTTTCCATTGTTAAAATCTAAAGTGTTTAGAGAGAGAACAACAAATCGTTCAGTTTGGTATATTGACAGTTTCCCCATTCAAATATTTTGTAAAGTACCTGAACTGACCGTTTGTTATTTCTTTATTCTGGCTTAATGAGAGCAGTGGGCTTTATGCTGCCATAGTGGAGAATCCTGCTTCACCGCAGCAGGTTGAGCCAAACATCCTCTAAATGTGCAGGGTCATCTTTGAGCACCATTTCACTTTTCTTTCACCAGTTCACCACAGTTCTTCCAGCAGTCCACTCTTTGTCTGCTCTCTTTTTCTCATCATCTTCTCCTTCTTTCCCATCGCCCGGCTAGCCACAAGTTTGCCTGCTGTGTCTAAAAGTAGCAGCAGCAGCAACCCAGCCTGACAGCAGCTCATTGGCTAATTTAGATCACATGCCGCCTGGTCATCACAGCAGGTGGGTCCAGATCTAGACTGCAGTCTGCTATTCCCTGACCTCTAATACATGACCTACTGTAAATTAAGTTGGAAAAAAAGTTAACAAGTCAGAAAAAAATAAAAAGTTAATAAGCCTTGTTAACAATTATATTTAGGTCCATAAACAAAAAAATGTAAGTGCCACTATCATCATTCTTCCCACTTTACAAGCAAAATCAATGGGAACTACTAGACACATCTGCAATCAACAACAATTATTGAAGATTTCCAGAGGACTTCACCATTGAAGTTCACCAGAGCTATAGTGAAACTGACAATGCCCACGAGCATGGCAGCTGGATGTTGTAATAAATTGGGTAAAAGTGGAAAAACATTAGTTATTTCACCTTTCTGATTCCTGATCCTCCACGGCCGGGTTCGTCGTTGGATTGCCAACTTGAAGAGGGAGGATTTGCAATCGAACTTCTGGCCAGAGAAAAAAACATGTAATATGAAGCCAACATTTGGAAGAAGAATGTTTTCAAGATGACTTTGATAATAGCGTGTTGTAACAAATGCCAGATACAGCACTAGGACTTGATCAACAGCCGATACCGCACCGTGGCAGGTGGCAGTAGTGTTCTTTGAAAAACATGAATGCCTCCAGTAAAGCACATTCAAATGAAAATTACTCTTCATTAAAACCACTTATCATTTATTTAACAATATGTAATAATTTAGTACTTTCAGAAGTCTGAATTCTGAATATGATCACACCTTTCCATTAATGGGACTGTGGTCTGCACAAAATAAACCCAGATGCTACTAAATCTACACATCTGTGTCTAATTTTATTAAAGAGTTCACCTTTAATTCACAGTAACAAAAAGCGAAATGTCTTTAAACTTGGAAAACAAAGTCCAGTGGTTTGTTTTTTACCTTTTTAAGACTTGTTTGGAACAAAAAAAAAGTAATTTTGAAAAGAGGAAACTCTTTAAGTTTTAAGAAAGAGAAAACCTTTTAAATGAATCCATTTTAAATGAGAAAAAAGCTGCATTTGATAATGAAGGCTTCTTAATTTGAAGATGAGTAAAGAATGGTGTGAATTCCCTCCAGATGTGCATGCACAGGCCTCTGGTTTCTCTTCAGCATCGATACCATTTGCTGCAGATTTTCTAAGATCAGACCTTTACAGCCAGACAGCAAGCTGACTTTCTGACACCTTTCATTGTGTTTAGATTGTTTAACAAAACATTTCATTCAGCAGAAAAGTGTTTTGGTGATTGGAAACAAGGCAAGCATCTTTTAAATACCGTAATCTCCTTTTACTCAAGCTTCATTAGCTACATCACAGTTAGCATCTGCTTCATAGGAACAAAGTGGAAACAGTGTTTCAGAGCCACATATTCTGCCTGTGTGAAATCTCTCTCTACATTGGAAATAATGCGTTCCTCCTTGTATATACACTATATTGCCAAAAGTATTTGCTCACCTGCCTTGACTCACATATGAGCTTAAGTGACATCCCGTTCCTAATCCATAGGGTTCAATATGACGTCGGTCCACCCTTTGCAGCTAGAACAGCTTCAACTCTTCTGGGAAGGCTGTCCACAAGGTTTAGGAGTGTGTTTATGGGAATTTTTGACCATTCTTCCAGAAGCGCATTTGTGAGGTCGCACACTGATGTTGGACGAGAAGGCCTGGCTCTCAGTCTCCGCTCTAATTCATCCCAAAGGTGTTCTATCGGGTTGAGGTCAGGACTCTGTGCAGGCCAGTCAAGTTCATCCACACCAGACTCTGTCATCCATGTCTTTATGGACCTTGCTTTGTGCACTGGTGCACAGTCATGTTGGAAGAGGAAGGGGCCAGCTCCAAACTGTTCCCACAAAGTTGGGAGCATGGAATTGTCCAAAATGTCTTGGTATGCTGAAGCATTCAGAGTTCCTTTCACTGGAACTAAGGGGCCAAGCCCAGCTCCTGAAAAACAACCCCACACCATAATCCCCCCTCCACCAAACTTTACACTTGGCACAATGCAGTCAGACAAGTACCGTTCTCCTGGCAACCGCCAAACCCAGACCCGTCCATCAGATTGCCAGATGGAGAAGCGCGATTCGTCACTCCAGAGAACGCGTCTCCACTGCTCTAGAGTCCAGTGGCGGCGTGCTTTACACCACCGCATCCGACGCTTTGCATTGCACTTGGTGATGTATGGCTTGGATGCAGCTGCTCGACCATGGAAACCCATTCCATGAAGCTCTCTGCGCACTGTTCTTGAGCTAATCTGAAGGCCACATGAAGTTTGGAGGTCTGTAGTGATTGACTCTGCAGAAAGTTGGCGACCTCTTCGCACTATGCGCGTCAGCATCCGCTGACCCCGCTCCGTCAGTTTACGTGGCCTACCACTTCGTGGCTGAGTTGCTGTCGTTCCCAAACACTTCCATTTTCTTATAATACAGCTGACAGTTGACTGTGGAATATTTAGGAGCGAGGAAATTTCACGACTGGATTTGTTGCACAGGTGGCATCCTATCACAGTTCCACGCTGGAATTCACTGAGCTCCTGAGAGCGACCCATTCTTTCACAAATGTTTGTAAAAACAGTCTGCATGCCTAGGTGCTTGAATTTATACACCTGTGGCCATGGAAGTGATTGGAACACCTGATTCCAATAATTTGGATGGGTGAGCAAATACTTTTGGCAATATAGTGTATATTCCTAAGTATGTGTAGCTAAATAATGAATTACTACAATTAAGGCCCTTAAGTTAATGGAACAATGCCCTTGATCTAAAAGAAAACCTGAGGCTTTGTTTTAGAAAATGGCAGATTATCAGTTAGTCTTTATTCGATTGATAAGAATAACAATTTTTTATTTAATTGCTGAAGCTGTCTCTCTGAGCATCTGCTCCTCCTCCTGGAAAACAAGTTGCCGCCATCATCATTCAGCGCAGAGCAGTGATTGACTCTCCTCCCAGGAAGCACCTACCTTGAATTTGGTTTATCTGCCCAGTAAACGGCTTACCCTTTTACTCAGATCTGCAAACAGTGATTTGAGGCAGAATTCAATCATTTCTGATCAAAGTTTAGTCAAAATGTTTCTTTTAGCAGTTCTGTTCACAGGTACTGTCTTCCACAGCCACGCGACTGAGTGATAACACTCACAAATAGTCCTAGTAGATATGGAGGTCTGGTAGAGCACCTGGATGTTTTAAAATTGCTGAAAAAGTCTAACAAAACACGTGCAGTTTTTCTAGCATAAAAAAACTTTATTTGGGCCCCTTAAACTACCAGAACTACTTTTTCTCAGGACGTAACCGGGTAGAGGTGAGTATTGGCATGAGTGTTGCGATTCGATACATGTCGCGATACTTGGGTCACAATACGATATTATCACGATATTGCAGTATCACTATATATTGCCATATTTTCCCCAGCTATCAAAATCAAATGATGAGATAAAACAGCAAGTGCTGTATATTTTCATCAGAAAATATTGATTAGGTATTATTATCCATGTTGTTTGGGGTTTTCTTCCACTGTCACTGCCTCAAATACAGATTTGGTGCTGCACGCACAGTTAAAGGGCTCCACAGCGCTTTCTGCCAGAGTGGTGGTGCAGAGGTAGCCCATTTTCCCATCAATGTTTTATGTAACCATTTTTTTTTTTAAATCGATACTAAGAAGTGAAAGATTGATATTGTGTTGGGCAGC